CCTAAAACCACCCTCATAACTCCGTTCAGAGAATCGCTTGGCTGATTTGGAAAGCGGATTTGAATTCAGCGCCCAAAAACACGCCTAGTAGTATAGGCCTTATTTCAAATGGTCACTTCGAGTTGGGATCCTTCCCTGGTTAGATCGTGTTGGGTTATGAATAGATATCGATCGATTGGAGCCGGACATTTCTGCTTTATGTTGTAGAGATGAAATAAAATGAACCAATGGGGTAGAATTGATCAAGCAAGCAACACAGTGTTGAGCAGAAAGAGATGATAAGATGATAAGTCAGATCCGACTATTGGTAGGGTTCATTTTTTAGATTGGTGACCCTCCAATACGTCTTTAATTCGTCAGAAGATGCCTTCGATCACGTTGCAGAAGACAAAACCGAAAGAATCTAAAAGTGATTCTGGGAAGGCAACACAGCGCTCAACGAGGTCCACTGAGCGATCTCCACGGGCATCATCAAGAAGCTTAAAGGAGTTTTCTGCCAAATCTCCAAAGACATTGCCGAGAAGCTCAGCGGATCTTTCTGCGGGAGGATCTCCAAAGACGAAGTCAAAAGGTTCAGCCGAACCTGGACACACATCTTCCACACGGCCAGATTCCAAAAGTTCTAATGTACAGTTGGCACCGGTGGACTCGAAGGGCTCCGCGGAAATACCGGACAAGGAAAGGAAACTGACTTCATCTTCGAAAGGGTCAGCGGAAGGGCGAAAGGACGAAGGAAGTTTGGAAGCGGTGAAGTTAAAAAGTGACGATGGAAAACCCGATAAAGATAAAAACTCTAAACAAATGGAAGTGAAGAACTCTGACGAGTCTAAAGCCAGTAAAGAACTGTTGGACAAGGACTTTAAGAGCAGAGAAGAAGTACAGCGCAAGAGAAAAAAGCGTCGCGAGGAGGAGCTGGAGTATAATGACGGTGAGATGTCTTTTATGAAGAGCAAAAGAGAATTCTTTCACACTCCAAGCTACCACATCTTGGTGTGTTTCTCAGAATAGTTATCGATTTTCATCGGATCGATATTCATTTTTCACATGAACTCATTGAAGGTTGGCAGTTCTAGCGTAAAGGCAGCTCAATACTCACCATAAGGAAACACACACACAAACTCAGAAAGTCAATGAATGAGAACGGGTTAAATAAGTGCAGTAGAAACAGCTGGTGCTCCCGTTAAGGAACCAGGAATGATGCGTAGGAACAGTCTTATACGACTGTTGTGGGTGCACAAGTCTCTCTAAAATGGGCCGCATGGAAAATGAAATGGTATTTGCAACCTCAGGTCGAGATTTATCGTGCAGAAAATAAATAAAAACTCTTCTCGTTTTTCTTCGCTTGCATCAGCGAGATTCTGAGCTGAGGGGTGTTAATGTAGCCGTATCTGCCTGGCCTAGAGATGGCAACTCGTCATAGCACTGCGTTTATTGTTGTCTTGAACTCTTCACGAGGTTTGTAAATACCCTTTATCAGGCTGACGTTTCGGCGGAATCGCCTTCTTCAGGGCTTGAAAGGATCATAAGAATCTGTGACTATCCGATCAAACGTCTCCACCAACCCACTAAGTTCGAGACCCCCAGGGCACGCAGGTTATCGAAAGGAGAATCACTCACCGTAACTTAGAGAATTCTTCGAAACTAC